CCTTTTCGTTCTACCGCCCCCCTGAAAAATGAAATCGCCCCCTGGGGGGCATTATTGCCCACGTTAAGAACCACTGGATTAGACAACCTTGTGGCCTTCCTGCCATACTTAGATGGTTCCATGTTTCTTAAAAGCAACACAGATGTGTTACTGCAGAAATCACAGCAACAGGACCTTTCTTGCAAGTCACCGTGTAGCACATCAGAAGTGTCTTCAGCTCTCTTCTATCCAGTAGAGATGACTTGGCGGAAGGAGTGGCAGCCAGAAGAACTCTGGGGGAAAAGTGACTGTGTTCCTGATTTCAAAGGAAACAAAAGAGGAGTGTAGCTGCACAGGACCCACTGAATTTAAGGAAGACCCAGTTTAATAAACTTAGAATAGTGATAGGTACTAAGGTCCCATGGCAGGACATCCTCAGAGGAACAGGAGTCCAAGATGGGTGGGAGTTTCTCAAAAAGGAAATGCTAAAGGCACAACAGCAAACCATCCCAACCAGAAAAAAAAAGATGGAAAATGGCAAAAACGACCAATGTGGCTGCACAAAAAACTCAGAGAGGACCTGAAAAGAAAAAAAGACATAGGAAGCAGAAGGAAAGCTGGACCTCGAAGGACGAATAGAGATGAGTAGCAAAGAATTGCAGGGAGGATGTTGGGAAGGCAAAAGGTTATCAAGGGGATGCTTAAAAGACAGGAAAGAAACAGTGGCTCACCTACTCAGTGGCAATGAGAACATTGTAAAAGGTAGATGACAAAAGGCAGAAAGTGACCATGTTCTCCCAAAAGACAGTCTATGCTTCTCCAGGCAAATGTGAAGGGAGGGGAGGAAAGGATTCCAGTTTGAGAGTGATAAATAAGGATACCTGTACTTTACTACTTTAAATTAGTTCAGCTCCCTGGGGCTAGAGATGAACTGCATTCCAGGATATTGAAGGAACAGGTGGAAGAGATCTCAGAACAATTTTCTTGAAATCATGGAGGCTGAGCGAACTGCTGGATGACTGGAGGACAGCTAATGTTATCCCTGTCTTCAAAAAGGGCAGAAAGGAGGAACCACAGACTGGTCAGCCGGACATCAATCCCAGGGAAAATTCGGAGCAGATTATAAAGCAGTCACTCTGCAAGTACCTCAAAAGCAATGCAGTGGTAACTAGAAACTTAACATGGATTTGTCAAGAACAAATACTGCCAGACTAATCTTGCCACATTTTTTAATTGGTTAACTTTCCTGGTAAGATTATGGGAATGCTATACTGTAGATGTAATACTGTATATCTTTGTTAATGCGTTTTGACAATGTGTCCCATGATATTCTAACAGGCTAACTAGGTGTGGGGTGGATAGAAGCAGTGTCAGGTGGATACACAGTTGGTTACAGAAGCAGTGTCAGGTGGGCACACAGTTGGTTACAGAATCGTACTCAAAGAGTGTTCATGAATGGTTCCTTCTGAAACTGGCAGGAGTTAAGTGGGATACCACAAAACTCAGTCCTGGGTCCAGTGCTCGTCAACATTTTTATGAATGACTGGGATGAGGGAGTGCAGGGAATGCTCATCAGATCTCCAGATGACACAAAATTGGGTCGAATCGAAAATACCTCTGAATATAAGAACAGAATTCAACAAGATCTTGATAGGCTTGAGCAATGGGCTGAAAATAATAGAATGAAATTAAACAGGGAGAAGTGCAAAGTTCTTCACATAGGTAAAAAAAAAACCCAAATGCACAGTTACGAGATGGGATATTTGGCTCAGTAATATATGCAAGTATCTTGGAATGGTTATAGATCACAAGCTGAATATGAGCCAACAGTGTGATGTGGCCTGCAAAAACAGCCAATGCTATTTGAGGGTGCATTAACAGAAGTAGAGTCTCCAAATCCCACAAGGTACTCATCATCCTCTTATTTGCCACTGGTTAGGCCTCACCTTGAGTATTGTGTCCAGTTCTGGACAACACACTTCAAGAAGGATGCTGACAAATTGGAGCAAGTCTAGAGGAGGGCAAAAGGGTGATCAGGCGGGGCTGGAAACCAAGCTCTGAGAGGAAGGATTGAAAGAACTAGCCATGTTTAGCCTTGAGAAAAGATGGAGGGGGGAGGAGGAAATAGCACTTTTCAAAGACTTGAAAGGCTGAGGAGGGTCAGGATCTGTTCTCATCCAAGAATGCAGGACATGTCATAATGGGCTCCAGTTACATGAAGCCAGATTTCAGCTGAATATCAGGAAAAATGAAATATCTCAGTTGCCTTCCCTGATGATGATGGCACAGGATATTGCCATTGAAAGCCAGAACTGTCTTTTAACAACAAACAAGAATTAACGTGACTGGAAAACGATGTTTACATGTATCAGGAAAAAGTTAAGGGAACCGTGACCTTGGGAGATGGTGAGAACACCAAGGCTGGAGGCCTTCAAGAGAAAACTGGACACCCATCTGTCAGATCTACTTTGATCTGGATGCCAGCCTTGAGGCAGGGGGGTTGGACTCGATGGCCTTCGAGGACCCCTTCCTGCTCCAGGATTCTGTAATTCTATGATCATTTAATCTACCAAGGCAGGTTCAAAATAGCCCTTCTCCTGGGTAAAGCCCCATCTCCCCCCCCCAAAAGGGGCAAAGGATACATGATGCACCGTGTGCTGTGAAATGCTCCGGATATGTGGATCTGGGCCTCTGCTTTTGTGTCTTTTATCATCTTTGCACTGGGCGGTGGGCCTCTCTGCCTTGTCCCCCAAAATTGGAGGGGGGGGAAACTAGGTCCCGCGAAAGAGACCCCAGGTTTGGATTCATCCCGCAGAGGCTAATTCAAGGCTCCCGCCCGAGAGATCGGAATTTCGCAAACTTTTTAACGGAGTTTTTGGGCATTTCATGCCTAGCTGTACAAGCGGCTCTCAAAAGTTTTCAAGCAGGGTCGGAAGTCTCGGGGGAAAAAGAGGGGGTGAAGTTTTGTAAGCGGCTCTCTCCACCCCGCCGGGCACCTTTTACTCGGGAGTAAGCCTCCCCGTCGAGGCAGGGAGATTTGCTCCCGAGCAAGCGCTTGGGCGCGAGCAGGGCGCAACCCCCGGAACTGCGCGTTGCCGGAGCCCGGCTTTCCTTCCGAGGGAAAAGGAGATGATTTTTGATTTTTCTTTCAAAAAAAGAGTGCATTTTGCAGGTTAAGGGGAAGGACTTGGGAAGGCTTGCCCTCGTGCTGTTTCCTCCCTTAGCCCCGGAAGCGGTCGCTCTTCGGCTTTGCTGCCGGGCTGGATTGCGCAAAGCGCATCCGGGATCCCAGGCGGGCGATGCGCTTCGGGGCAGGTTTGCGCGGCGCAGGTAGCGCGCAGCTGCTGCTGCTCCTCCTCCTCTTTCAGCGGCTTCCCTCCGCTTTGGGGGGTAAGTAGCCTTGGGCGGCTCCTATCGGCATCCCTCCGCCTTGGGGGGTAAGTAGCCTTGGGCGGCTCCTTCTTTCGCTTGGCTATTTGACACGGCTTTAATTCCCGGGACTACAATTCCCATCGACCCTGACCCCTGGCTAGGCCGGAGGGCGGGCATGGGACTTGTAGTCCAACCACCTTGGGAGTTTGTGTTTTTTACCGTCTCTCACCCCTTCCCGGGAAAGTGTTGAAACCTTCCGAGGGAAAACCGTCCTCGGGAGAAAGAGCCGAGCTTCTTTGTTCTGCACAGCCCCGATCCGCTGCACTTTTAAGCCGCATTGACTCTATTAGCAGGCCTTGCTTTCGAGAAAACAGTCCTCGACTGCATTGTAAACCACACCATTCGTGGTGAGGTTGATCCTGGAAAGTGCAAACTGGCGATTTTCTGCAGAAAGGCGTTTTAATCTTATTTTTCAAGTTTGCCACAAAAAAGGGGGGCAGGGAATTTATTCAGATTTTTACCTATTTCTGGTAGGGAGTGTTATGAACTAGACAACAGTTTCTTGGAGCATCAACAAAGTGCACTGAATGCCCACAGCCAGCGGCACTGAAGTTTGGGATTAAGGTTTGCAGAGAGGGTGCAACATTTAAAAGACAAACATTGTATTTTCAAACCTCTCATTTGGGAATCACTGCTATTTTAAGCCCCTGTAAGGCCATTGGCTTCAATGTGTGCTAGTTATTTTTGTGAAAATGTTTACCGTTATGCCTTAAAAGGCCTCTTAATCATGTAGTGATGGATTGTTAATAAGGTCACAACCCATGAAACAGCACGCTGTATTTGCAGAAAACTGAAATGCTTAAAATGCTGTTAAAACTAGCCGCTGGCCTTGCTCATGGACAGAACAATCTGGCTGCAAGGAAGTTATATCGATGCAAGAAGTAACAGGGAATGACCCATGTGGAAGTTGACCTGACTGGCAGTTGGCCATGTGTGCTTCTGGTGGTGCAAGGGAGTGCAATCTTTCCTGCACGTGCTGGACTACAAGCCCCATAATCCTCTGCCCCACCTGGAGCATGCTTGGAATTGTCCCCAAAAAAGAGAGAAACTTCCAACCTGAACTGGAATGGCGGCGTATAAATAGGCAGCAGTGCATAATATGAGACAGTTAAAAAGGTGCTGGAAGTTACAGCAATGCAGGGAGAGAGGAAAATCACACGTGAGATGGACGGACTCTGTCAAGGAAGCCACGGCCTTGAGTTGGCAAAACCTGAGCAGGGCCGTTAAGGGCAGGGCCTTTTTGGAAGGCGTGAACGCCTGGGTTTGCCATGAAATCGAAAAGCAGCTTGACTGTAAATAGCAACATGTATGCATGTGCATATATGGATCTGGCAAAAGATGACTAGGAGAGACACAGCCCAGATCTTCCTCTTTATTTGGACCCATCAGGGTGGCTTCCAGTGGGAGGGAGTTCCCCTTCCTCTTTATTTGGACCAATCAGGGTGCAAATCCTCAAGGGACCAGCCTGGCCTCCAGTGGGAGGGAGTTCCAAAGTCTGGGATCAACAGTGGAGAAGGTCCTCTCCCAAATCAGGGCGGTGGGACCAAGAGAAAGGCCTTTCTCTTAACACCTGAGCAGGCTCATAAAGGGAGAGGTGGTCCTTTAGAGACTTAAGCCATTTAGGACTTTATAAGTTCGAACCGGCCCTTTGAATTGTGTCCGGAAATGGATCGGCAGCCAGTGGACCTGCTGTAACGGAAGGGGGGGGGAATGATGTGATTCTTGTGTCCAGCCCTAGTCAGCGTAACGCGATGTTCCTGGAACATCGTTGTCCTTAATGGAGAAGGAAGAATAAGAAGAATGTTCTCTTGTGTCCGTTGCTGAAGATGTCATTCTTTAGGGGCCAAGGTCCTCCCCCCCAAATCTCGGGATGAGAAGAGAGAGATGATGGGTTTGCTCTCTTCGATCACGGATGTCATTTAGCCTTTTAACAGCTAGACTGAATGATGTTCTCCGGACCCACCAAATTTTAAAATTCAAATAGGGTGAGTTGGATTGGACCTGGTTGGGTTTGATCTTGCTTATTCCGCTTCAAGCAGGGCCGTGGCTTCTACCTCTTAGTCTTTCCCCGCAGTTCTCTAACTCGCGTGGGTAGAAAGAAAGGCACTTGAGCACTACAGCAACCCGCAGTCTCCTGCGCGTGAGCACTAAAGCATCCCACTGTGTTCCATTCCCTTCTTAGCCGCCGAGAAGGACGAAACCATGGTTCAGCTGCCTGGCGGGACGGTGCGAATCCCATCCAGCTCGTTTAATGGTAAAAAAGAAGATTCTCCCGCCAGCAGAGTCGAACCCTTCCTCATCGACAGGTATCCCGTCACTAACCGAGACTTCCGGTAAGGGGCATGCTTTCGTGTTGCTTTAATTCACAACAATCAAGGAGATTACGCGGGCCTGCATGTACAGTCGTGCCCCGCTTAACGATTACCCCGCATTACGATGAATCCACTTCACGATGGTGTTTTTGCAATCACAACTGCAATCACAAAACGATGTTTTAAATGGGGTTTTTCGCTTTGCGAATATCAGTTCCCTGCTTTGGGAACCGATTCTTCGCATTACGACGATCAAAATATTTAAAAAAAGGGTTTTAATGCGTTTCAGTGGGTCTTTTATTTTCGCCTTACAACTTTTTTGCTCTACAGCGATTTCGCTGGAACGAATTAACGGCCATTAAGTGAGGCACCACTGTATATGGAATTATTAAATTGCTGCAGGGGGAGGTCTAATGCAATAATGGCAGTGTTTTGGCGGTGTTTTAGATTGTTTGCAGTGCTTTGCATCTGTACTTAAGATCCGTTCGACGGTATTGTAAGTTGGGTCAAGATTCTCAATCCAAGTGGGAGCCTGAGCTTCTGCCTTAGGCGTTCAAGAGAAAATTGGGAAATCCTCTGTCTGATCTGCTTTGATTTGGATCCCTGCCTTGAGCAGCGGGGTTGGACCCGATGGCCTTCTACGCCCCTTCCCACTCCACAATTCTACTATTCTGCGTTAATTAAAAAACAATCCAAAGGTTTCCAGAACACGTCTGCAAAAATCTACTTGTAAATAAATAGCTGGATAATCTGCCATGCAACCTTTTTTCCTCCTACAGTGGTAAGAAAATGCTGTGCTCCAAAAATGTGACCGTTTCTGATCTGTACGAATGGATATGTAAATTTATCCAGGATGATTTAAAAAAATCTCAAATAACGTCTGCCCGTCTAGGAATAGCTAGGCAAAATGTGGACGGTGTTCATCTTTGCTCACCCCTTGCGTTGTGTGATTCCCTTGGCCTTTGGAAGGGGGAATAAAGACGGAGGTGGGGGAAGGAGGCTTGGAGAGGCTTGTGCGCCCTTTGGCAGGCTGACCGGCTCAGGATCTGCAGACCTTTGCAAAGGGTCAAAATTTCCCCTCTTACGACAGGGAATTTGTGAGAGACCAGAAGTACACGACAGAAGCCGAGCGGTTTGGCTGGAGTTTTGTCTTTGAGGATTTTGTGCCCGAGGACCTTAAGAAGAAAGTGACGCAGAAGCTGGAGGTAAAGCACAGATTCGGGGAAAGAGGTGGCATTCTCGCAAATCCCAAGACAAGGATGAAAAATGCCTGCTAGAGGTTTTAAAAAATGTGCAGGTTTTTGAGTCCTACATGTCTGTTCATCAGGCTGAGTGGCCGGTTTCCTGCTCTTTCTGCAATGCATGAAATACGCTTGATTTTCTACAATTTTCCCACCTTTCCAATTGCATGCGTTTTCCAGAGTGCACTTTTTATGTTCAGGTGCATGCTTTGGAGGGGGGTGAAGGAAAACAAACCAGATTAGTAGCATGAAGGAAGGCTGGAAGCATGAGAAGTTAAAATGAATAATCATCATATTGCACCTGTACTGAGCTAGGTGCTGTACATACAGAAGCTAGAGATGCACTTTTTGAAATGCTGCCTCTTTAGTCTAGGCAGGCATAATTTGGGAGCAGAAGCATCCGTTTGTGGGTCCTACGTGAATCTTGAAATGAGGGTCAGTGGGGTTGGGATAGGGTTTAGATAAAATCAGGCTTTCTTTGGTTAAAAAAGGATCCATGTGGGTTATGTGAATCCAACATTTCTCCATTCCAAAAATAAATAAATGAAAATTCTGCCCTAGAATAACCCCAACCCCACTTCCAAGAAAAACAGCATTATTTCTAACTGGTGGCCATCGCAAACATTTGCTTGATTTCTTTTTTATTATTATTGTATTTTATTTTTTTGCTTCTGATTGGCCTGAGAGGGAATTTAGGGCTTTATAGGTTTAGAAACATCTCTTTGAATTGTGCCTGGAAACAGATCGGCAGCCAGTGGATCTGCTGTAACAGGGAGGGTTACGTGATCCCTGTAACCAGCCTCAGTCAACCATATGGCTGCAACATTGACGTTGCTTTAAACCCCCTCTGTTTTTCTCTTTTCAGTCGGCTCCCTGGTGGCTTCCCATCCAGAAGGCGTTTTGGAGGCAGGTGAGTTAAGAGCATCTCCCTCTCCTACGAAAATATCCGGCTCCCTGACCAAGATTTTGATAGGTGGCTCACCAGGTGCTTGGACAAGATCTGAATTGTTTTGGTGTTCGTTTTTAATTTTTATTCCTCTATTGGAATTTGCTGCTGCTCTAAAAAAATAGGTCATGTTTTCTTCCCTCCGAACCATTCTTCAAAGCTGTTGTTTTGATGATGATGATGATGATGATGATGATGATGATGATGATGATGATGATGATGATGATGATGATGATTAGTGTAATAGTAATGTTGTGTTCCCCATTCCCTCCGGGGAAGTCATGGTGGTTTAGAAGGCATCGTGGATTATTAATTAATTTGTCGATCAGGATCAAAAGGAAGTTAGACGGGGTGAATGCAGAAAACCCCTAGAAGTCAATGGCCTGAAAAGGTCCATATTTGTTTCAAAACAGGGATTGAGTTGCTAGTCCTCAGTGTTCCGAAGATACGCCTGAAAGCAAAGTGGACGTTTACTGTAAGATGTAAAACAGGCGACTGGATTATGAATTAATTAGTTGCTTTAGTGAGCTCTGCACTTTATTTGCTCGCCTTTCAAAGACAGTGAAATCATGAGAGCTAGAATATGTTGGTCACTTAGAAATAGGAAGGACAGGTTGTTACGGCTGATTTTTCGAGGTGAAAGCGGTGGAGAAATAAGTGGAAGAAAGGGATAGAATTTAGAGAGTAGTTGAGATGCAGCGCAATGCTGTTGTTCGGAGCTGCCTCATTCAAAGGAGAAGTGTCTTTCCGGAACTTCTGTATCATACACAACACCTAGAATGCGGTGTGGGCGAAGCAACGGATAAAGAATCCGCTCATATATATATATATATACGAGCGGATTCTTTATCCGTTGCCTCGCCCACACCGCATTCTAGGTGTTGTGTGTATATATATATGACAGTGAGAAGGATTGAACTTGATCTTTCCATACTCAAGTACCATCATTAGTGGGGGGGGGGTTAAGGCAGAAAGCTGGGTTATCAATAAACAACACCAATAATGAATCCTTTGGTTTAAAAAAAAAATTTAAAATTATTATTTTCTAGCCTTCAGGTCCTAGATCTGGCATCAAGGACAGGCTAGACTACCCCGTGTTGCATGCCAGCTGGAATGATGCCCAGGCCTTCTGTGCCTGGAAAAAGAAGAGGTTACCGTCGGAGGTGGAGTGGGAGCTTGCCGCCCGGGGAGGCTTAGAGAGTACGTACACGCAGGGACTCGCACAGCTTGAAATGGTCCCATCTGGTTGTCGTAAGGGTACCAGCCCCAAAGAAAAAGATCGTGTTGTGGAAATATTTGTGGGTTCTTTTTCTCCCCCTCTCCCCAAAATGCTCTGAGATATATCAGTTGCAAAACCAGAGGATGGCCCAGATCAGCAACTAAAGGACCAGGTATTTTGTAAAGCTATTGACTCCTGATTGCTTACGGGTCTTGATTGGGAGGTGGCTTCCACCCCTTGTGCGGTTGCCTTTATGCAGTCACATTGTAATTCTTTTTTTTTCTTTCTCTTCTTCCTCCCCATTTTTATGCTATTTAGGTTGTATCCTTGGGGAAACAAATTCCTGCCCAATCGCACAAACCTGTGGCAGGTAAGAGAAGAACCACCTCAGTCCCAGGACGACTGTGTTTTATTCAATTTCCCGGGAACAATGTACTGTTGCGAGCGATCCAATCTATAGTTATAAACACTAGTATTGTAATACCGGGTATTTGAGGGTGGTTTTGCTCTTGAAAGGACAATTAAGACCCATTAGCTTTACAAAAGACTTGATTGTCATTGCTTGATGTGGACTGATCCAGCGGTCTGCATTTTGGATTCTCTGTGAAGAAACTGTCAGCTTTGAAAAGTGTCACACTGAGGGCCTTCATGGCCAAATTTTCCACTAAACTAGTGTTTGCATGCTGTATCAGTATTTTTGCTTTGGTACTGTTGAAGGTCTTCAGGCTGATAAGCTCCTTTTCTCCCACTCCTATGTAGCCAGAGGAGGAGGAATAAACCAGGCTCACTTCCCCAGTTCATGGCTTATCGTTACCTGTGAATGTGGAATCTTGGTTTAAAATAAACTCTCATCAGTTGCTCAACAAGCCAGCTTCAGATTACTGGTTGGAAAGTTGCATTGTTTAGCAACTGACCAGGAAGTAATGCTACAAGTAATGGTTCCAGGTTTGGAAACGGGGTGAGTTTATTTTGAAACCAGGTTTGATGTTTGGTTTCATGCACAGCCATGATTGTTCTGGACCCAAACTGGGAAGACAGTTTCCAATTCTGGTTACTGGGTTTCAGAAATATTCCTTGTCCACGTGGATGGGTTTGGTTGTCTGTGCAGCAGAGATTGGGGGGAAATTGCTTTTCTGGGCCACAGTTTCCAAAATCTGGCCTCTGGTCAGGCTGCCTGAAAGTTCACAGGAATTGTTTTCCAAAAAAATTAAAACTTTTAAAAGCTCTGCTCTAAATTAGGTGCCTCCCTTGTTTCCCATCTGCAGGGTGACTTCCCCAGGGCGGACACAGCTGAAGACGGCTATCACGGAGCATCGCCAGTGACAGCGTTCCCTCCTCAGAACAATTACGGTGTGTATGTTTTCCTGTGGCTTCTAGTAAAACTGGTCAGATGGGTCTTTCTGCACAAAAATCAAATCATTTTTTTCAGCCACATGGTTACCTGTCAATATTATGCAAAACTTCTCATTTAATAAAATTATATTCTATTTTTGAGAGACCAATTCCCAGAGTCTCACTTCACCTCCCAGCCTTTTTCATTTCCAGGGTATAGGGGAGGGTGTTTCTTTAAATTATTTCTTGTACTACAAGTCCCATAATTCTTCATTCTCAGGCAGTTCTACCTGACAGGCACCTAAATGTGGCTCACCTGGGAGAAAGGCCTGGAAAGCTTTGTGGCTCAGCTAGGCCTAGCTCTGCCCAAGCTTCCTGTTCCTGCCCCAATGCAAGCTGGGAGCTTTCTTTATGAAAAGGAGATATGTCTCTCTTCCAGCAAGCAAACTCCTCTCTTCTTGCCTCCCAGGGCTCTACGACCTCCTAGGAAATACTTGGGAATGGACGGCTTCGGTGTATCATCCAGACGGGCCTGCATCCCATCAACCGGCTCAGGAGATGCGCGTCCTGCGGGGGGCGTCTTGGATCGACACCGTCGATGGGTCGGCCAACCATAGAGCCCAGGTTGCAACCAGGTGTGGCTTCGGTATCCGACCTCTCCCCGACCCTGCTGGACCATCATATTTCACCCCATGTTCAAAGCTGAGCTTTTCATCTTTTTTTTCCCCCTCCTTAGAATGGGAAACACCCCAGATTCGGCTTCAGACAACCTGAGCTTCCGTTGCGCCGCCAGCCTTCCCTGGAGGAACCCAAACCTGGAAACCGAGAGCAGAAAAGCGGAGCTCTGAAAGACAACGGCCGTCTTTTGTTCCGTGGAGACGGGTCCTCCTGCGGTTCTGCCAAGACCGATAAGAACACGATGTCCAGAGAGAGAAGCATCGTGGTGTACAGCTGAGCCAAAGAAAATTGCCCAGTCCCATGAAAACCTGCCCGGGGAGTAAGTTGCCCTCAAAACAACGGCACCCATTACCTCCGTACGGCTCTTAAAGGCACTGGTTTGGAAAGGGATGGGGGTGTCATATTTTAGAAGCCAAATGCCACCGTTAAATTAAAAACAGACAAAACAACCTGCCAAAAGAGGCCACATCCAATAAATAAAGCACATTTATTGAGGCGTCGAAAGAGCGTAATTTTAGAAAACCGGTCCTTTCCAATTGTTGGCTGTTAATAAATAGTAATAAATAGTCCAGATCCTGGAAATATTTCCGCCTAAGGCAAGCTCTGTTGCCTTCAGCTATAAACGTATCAATGCTGTTCCTACAAATTAAATTTCCGTCCCCTCCTCTAATACTAGGCGGGCAGCATGGAAATGAAGGTTAGAGCTTAAGGATGTTACTGGTTTTGGACTACGAACGCTGTACTGCAGCTAAAACTGTGCTCACGACCTGGGGTTCAAATCCCAGGTAGCCGGCTCAAGGTTGACTCAGCCTTCCATCCTTCCGAGGTCGGTAAAATGAGTACCCAGCTTGCTGGGGGGGGCAATGTGTAGCCTGTATAATTAAATTGTAAACCGCCCGGAGAGTGCTTGTAGTGCTATGGGGCGGTATATAAGTAAAAAAAAAATTTAAAAAAATTTATTCTGGGGTTTGTCGTCCGAAGGGACGTTTCTGAGCTCGAAATGAGGCATATTTGCATTTTAATCTCTATAACTGGCAAGCTGCAGACCGTTAAGAAGCCATTGAAAATGTGGGTGCTGGGGGGGGTGGCGGTGGGGCCCTCAAGAGGTTGTGGGACTACAACTGCCATCATCCTTTGCCCTATATGGGTGGGGGCTGAGGAGTATTGAAGTCTTGCAAAGTCTAGAAGACCCTTCTTGGCATGAGAGTGAGAGTCAGTGTTGGATGGGGAAAGCTTTGGGTTGAAATGCTGGCTTTGGCACGAGCGAGCTTCCTGAAAGACTGTGTGTGAAAGAAAAAGGAGAGGGGAAAAAAAGAGAGAAATTTCTGTGACCCTGAAATCCTTAAAAGGAGAAAAGGAGGAAGGGGATAAATGTTCTGCTTTAGCTCAGCCTCCTCAACTCTGCCGTCCTGCCGAGGGGTGAGACGACAACTCCCACCACAATGGGAGTGGTAGTCTGCCATCTCAGTAGGAGAAGCCGCCTTCGCTCTTAACGCGCTCAGGAGCTGTTTGTCCTGGGTCAGAACAGGAGCTCCTCCTCTTCCATGGCCAAGCTGAGCAGGATGGCTTTGGGGGTGTTCTCGAAGAGCGCCGCCCGGTTCTGGGCTTCCCCTTTCTTCACCCAGTGGCCGTAGATGCGGAAAGCGCAGGCGTCGATGAGCTTCCGGACAGGCTTCAGGCCATAAGGGTCGCTCTGCATCACATCCCGAGTGACGGGCTTGACGTTGCGGTAGTTGAGGTAGATGCGGACGGATGCCAAGACCGTCAGGCAGATGACCTAGAGGGGCGGGAGAACCCGACACATCAGCGCAGCCCGAGAACAATTCACAGATCCATCCTTTGCTTTTTTTTTTTACACCCATCGTTCTCTATCTTCGGAACTCACAATGTTTTGAACTTCTTCTCCCATCATCCCTGGCATTTGGCCGTGTGGCAGGAGGGATCCCTGGGAAACGAAGTCCTTAACATCTCGAGGGCCAAAGATTTGTCAAGACTGCCCAAGAGCTTCTAGCCTCTGAGCCTGCCCTGTTATGAGGCAGAGGTAACGGCTGATAGCAGCCATTTTGGCATATTCTAAAGGGCTGGTACATTCTTAATTTATTTAATGGGTTCTTATTGCATTTTTTATTGTCAGAGAGGCAGGAGTTGAGTGGGGAGAGAAGCATTCGTGGGAGGGTTCCCTTCGGGGCCAAAATAAATTTCAAAGCTGATGATACACTTAGCACATATTTAGAAGTGGTGCTCCGTCAAGTGCAACACCTGGTCAAAGTTGTACTTCTCTGCTTCCTTCCTGCCCTCAACTTTTTACACTATTTGATCTAATGAAAAGGTCTCGAGAACTCAAATGCTTTATGGAATTTTAATTCGTCCCCAAAACAGTGTTGCTGACCTACAGATTTTATGGTTTACTATTTGTTTTTTAGTCATGGACCAATATAACTCTTTATATTTACATTTCCTTGCAGTCTTTTGCTGAGGTGCGAGAGGCATGCTAACCTGTGGTGTTGTCGTTACTAACAGGAATTGGTCTCTGTTTCCCACTAGTGGCTAATTCTGATACTGCACCTTGGAAATATTTATAAAAATACAGTAGACAAAACCAAACAATGCTTCCCTTTGCTGCTTGGGACTGGTAAGAGAAGGGCATAGAAACCTGGAAATTTTCAATGAAAATGCCCCTAAAAACCTCTCTAAGGTTGTTGTTAAGAAGTTACTAAGAAAGTAACTAGGTTTACTTATTAAATTTATTTCCCATTTAATTTTACCTTTATATGCAACTAACATAAGTGTTAGTCATTGCACGGGGAAAGTAACTTGTAAATAATAACTATATTATTCCTTACACACAAGTAACTAGTTACAGGTAGTTAATTTACTCCTGACTAATTATTTGCTGGTGTAGATCCACCCTTAAATACACCGCTAGTCCTAGTCGTAAGGAGAAACCAGCCAGAGTGACTATGAGTTAGATGGATGGTCCAGGAATCGAATGAATGAATAAAGAGAGAGAGAGAGAGAGAAGGTTGGGTACCCGAAATTTCCGGAAGGGGCTGAAATGCCTGACTTCTTCCACCACGTATTGCTGGAAGAAGGGGTGGGAGAGAGCATCCTCCACAGTGTAACGATTCTTAGGCTTCACCACCAAGAGATGGGCAATCTGCGGGCAGGAAAACAATAGATGTTGGATTCCAGAAGAGGAAGCAAAGATCTGTAGCTTTTGCCCCTTATGGTTCAGCTCCCTGGTGATGGAGGTGGCGGGCCGCAGAGTTTGGGCCCTTAGCCACCCAACGTCTTGACCATTTTTGGCTTGCTCCCCTTCTGTAAAGTCGCCCAGCCTAGCCCAGTTGCCATCATCCTCGTTGAACTGCAGAGCTGGAAGGGACCCCGTGTCTAGCCCAGTTGCCATCATCCTCTTTGAACTGTAGAGCTGGAAGGGACCCCGTGGATTCAGGAGGCACCACAGGGGAATCGAACTCCCAACCTCTGGCTCTGCAGCCAGAGACCTAAGCCACTGAGCTCTCTCCAGCAGTTCCTCCCAGTTCCTTGCCGAGAATCAGACAATGATTTCTGGAGTGTTTTCTTTTTAGTCCAAAATCTGCAGCCCATCAGTTTGACCGGATCAAAAGAGGCTGCTGACCCCCTGGGCTTTAGTCCCAGATTTAGAAAGAGCGCTCTAAAAATGCTGAACCTATTTTGAGAATCAGGGTCAGCACCTTCAGCGCCACATTTAAAGTTCCGCCTAAAACCCCGAGTGGATTCATTGCAGAATTCCCTGACTTTTGCGTCTCTGGTCAGCACCCAAGGGTGCCCACCCACACCCCAGGAACCATCACCCACCAGGTCTTTGACCGTGTCCGACTGGTCATCCCACTCAGGGGACCCAAACTTGTAATCGCCGTTCATGATCATCCTCAGCATCAGCATCTGTTTCCGGTGCCAGAACGGGGGCGACCCGGCCAGGAGGGTGTACATGATCACCCCCGTGCTCCACCTAAAATGAGCAGATGAATCACTTTTTAAAAATTATAAATGCTACCACCCTTGTTTTCTTCTTCCTCCCTCTATTTTTATTTTCTTATTTTCCCTGCTTGCTTTCTTGGCCTGTCTTTTTTCCCCTTTCCTCTCTATATCTATGCCTTTCCTTCCTTTTATTGCTTTCTCTTTCCCCTCCATGGAAGTTGGTGGAAGGGAAGAAGGGATAAGCAACGGGAAATTTTGTGCTGGGGGCCTTAGAAGACCTACATTTTCGCCTCCGCTGCGAGAGGTAGGCTGCCATACAGTTCGACTTACATATCAACCTCCTTCCCGTAACCTAGGTGGTCCGGATCCATGGAACATTCTAGTATTTCTGGAGCCAAGTAGCCAGGAGTTCCACAGATTTCTGCAAGGGAGGAAAAACACCAGGAACTTGAGCTTAAATGATTGGGTAGAAAATATTTTTGAAGAGAAGAGCTTTCCTGCCTCTGGTGGGCTCAAAATGCCCTGTAGGTGACTTTTGAGACATACCTGTTGTAGAGAATTGTAGTAACCCCTGGCTAGCCAAACAGGGAAGCACCCAAAACTAAAAGAGCCGAAACTGAATTTTTGAGATTAATCCTTAGCACCTCAAGAGAACGGTAGGAACTAGAACTGGGGAGATTTTTGGACTACAGTGCCCAGAATCCTCCTGACCATGCTCGATTGGCGATTTTTGGACTTATGCCGAAAGGTCCCAATTGTATTGCTAGGGAGACGCTCCTGGCCAGTGTAGGCAAAAATGAGCTCAAGAACGCCAATGGCTTAGGTTTTAGACGATGCATCGTGACTGGGACGGGTGTGAGACCACTCCGGGGTTGAGTCCAAACTTTACAGGAGCTCTCCAGGGTAATGAAGCCATTTGGGGGAAAGTTTAGCATTTTTGATAGCTCCAGTGATGTTTGGACTAAAACCCCGTGCAAATTTACTGCCCCTGTGCAAACAGAGTCGCATGTCTCTGCTAAGCGGCTGCTCCATTTTAGAGGGTAATTTAACCCCAGCAGCCTGACCGCATGGCGATTTCAATTTTGGGGAGGAAAACCATCCTCCGCCCACCTTTCAGCTTCTCCGCCTCCTTCAGCTGACAGGAGAAGCCGAAGTCGGTCAGTTTGATGTTCATGTCGTCGTCCAGGAGGATGTTCTCTGGCTTCAGGTCACGGTGGACGATGTTCATGGAGTGGAGGTACTTGATGACTTCCAGGAGGGCGCGCATGATCTTTCTGCCAGGAGAGAAGAACACAGGCTTTCGGCCAGAGAAAACAACCCAAAAAGGGAAGATTTCGGTACCTGTCTCCTCTCCCCGTCTAAGGAAACAGCCACTGTTCCCCACAAAGCACTCCGTTCCCCACATTTCATCACACACCGGTGTCATCATGAAACCAATGACAGAGTTCTGTAGAAGGAGGAGTGCATTTATCCCAAAGAAAGTGGCTGGAGACCCTAGCAATGGCTGCGCCAGACTGGTAAGGTAGGCCAGTCCTGTAACCATTTGGCATCTCGTAAGAGGTTGGAACAGAAGAACATCTACCTCCTATCATCCAGGGCCTCACCTGGTTTCCTTTTCGCTTAACGTCACTTTCTCGGTGAGGTAGTCAAAGAGCTCCCCTCTTTTCATTCTGCATTTGAGAAGAAAATCACATGTATTTTTAAAAAATCAGCTGACGGAAGTCAGGAAGAAAGGCGTAGCTCAGAGACGGGGTGGGAAAGTGTCCCGCTTTCACTCGTATTGCAGCTCAGTGTTTCCTGTCCGCAGCTCGGAAAGCACTCCCTCGCAGTGGGCGAGTTGTGATTTTGTTCTCTTTTGTGAAGTTTCTAGTCCTCATGGTTTGAGTTCTCAATTTGGGAAAAATAAATAGGGCCCCCTAAGATTTCCAGTGCTATGAGATACAGTAAAACCTTGGGTCAGGAAGGATATAGAAGGACGGTGGTATGTGTGGGGGATCGGTTGGAAGCACACTCCCCCCTCCGCAGATGCTGGAACACAGAAGTATTGAACACAATACATTGCATGGTCTGTGTCTCCCATGGTGGCAAATACACCCTGGAAATATGTATTTTTGAGGGGTTTCCCCCCTATATTTTCAAGGAGTGGGTAAATGAATCGGCTGATAACTGATCCTGTGAATGGGGAGGGGTCCAGTACTCATTTAAGATACACCCCTCCCTCTCTCTAAGGACAACCACCTCTATCAGTAGATTTGTGTGGAAGGATAAAAGGAGTGAGTCCGGTGGAAACAGTCCCACCGAAATGCCCTCCCATTATGTTCCCATTGATTCTCCAAGGGAGGACGGAGCCACCTATCAGTAGAAGGAGCCCCTCCCTCTGGTATTTCATCTTCCTCTTTTTTTGCCTTCATCTAGCCTCCAACCGAGCTTCCTGCTCAGAAAGAAAGCTCCCAGCGAGCACTGGGGCAGGAACAGGAAGCTTGGGCAGAGCTAGGCCTAGCAGGGCCTCGTACCCTTTCCAGTTCAGGCCTTTCTCCCAGGCGAGCCACAATTAAGGTCTCTGTAAGAGGCCTACCTGTCAGTAGTACTCCCAGAATGGAGAATTATGGGATTGTAGTCGTTTCCCCCCACCCTCAAAAAAAACAACAAAAAACTAGAAGATCCCATCCCTTGCTGTAATCCAAAACTACAACCTTCCCAGATTTGATTGGTTTTTTTTTTAAATCGGTCTTTTCGCAATGTGTGTTTGGGACAAATCTGAAATTGGGGATTGGTTAGAGATCATTAGGTGCTTTCAACTTGCATATGAAGGAATGCGATGCTGCCGTTAATTCTCATGCCTTCAAACCATGCCATTTAGGCATGCTCAGAAGCACCCTTGTCTTTTTCATTACTTTGCATGCTTTAGAACTGTCACTGTCCTTGGGAGCCCTGGAGTAAAGGCTAATGTTTTTTTTCTCCTCCCCAAGCAGCCGTACCCTCTGATTATGACACGGAGAAGCCTAAAAATAGAGGCTGAGGAGGGTTTCTGTGACTGGAGGGAGACCTTAGCAAAGGTTATGAGAAATCAGATCCCCAGACTTGGAGGCAAGGGGGAGGGACAGCTGCCTCTCACTCTCTCGGCTTCCTTCTCCCCGGTTGCAGGCAGGCTAAGCGAGTAAAGACCAAAGGGGATTTCATGCAGCAGTAGCGCAGATCAACACAAACAGGGCCTTTGCAATAATCTGGAGTTTCAGCTCATTCAGTCAAAACCTGCATGAAATTTGGTGATTTATATGGGTAGCGAATTTTAGATTTCCCGATTAGGTGTATTTATTTGCTAATGTCATTCCAAGGAGCTCATCAAAATGCGCATGGCCACCTTCCTCTCCTATTGGCACTTCACTCTCACGATAACCCTTCGAGGTAGGTCAGGCTGAGAGAGCCAGGGGTTTGTGAGGCTCAGGGAGGACTAAAACCTCTGCTCTCAAGACCTAGACTAAACCTCTAACCACTGCCCCACCCTGCCTCATGGTGGAATAGACTCTAGGCAAGAGATGGAGAGCCCAGGGTTGACAGACATCCTTAGGCATAGATACTGTATTAGATAACAGAACGAGTCTGGAGGTAAAAATGATAGAAGCACCCACCCGGAAACATCGAAGGCCTTTCAGCCCCATTCTGATTTTTATAATGGCCAACAAGACACAAAAGCCATAAAAATGCACTCCCACATTGGTGTTTCCTATTATCTGGGATTCACAGGTAGGCTGCTCTTGCACATGAAGGTTCTATTCAGCAACCGCTACTGATTAGCGGAAAGGAGAACGGGTGTACGAGGACCCCCGGGCAGGCCCCAGGTTTGCAAAAGCCTATCAGGACATAAGAACACGGAAGCTGCGTCAAACCCAGGGCCTCTTAAGATCAACATGCTTTCTTCTCGCTGGCCAAACAGCTAGCTATGGGCAAGCGACCAGCGGAACTGGCAGTGGAAGCTGGTTTCCTCTGAAAGTGGTGAATCCGCTCTATAATGTTGCTCCGAACACCATGGGAGCGATTCAAGATGATTAACCTTACCCCACCCGCTCAGAACAGTCAGTTTCGGACTGCAACCCGGTGCGGACTCCTTGCCCCCTGTGTGCAGAACTGGAGACACTGCCTTGCTAAAGGGTGCCTGGGAAGCGGTGGGGTGGCTGGCAAATCGGTTTCGGGGGTGCTGTGTGTCTGTATTGCACCGTAAGGAGCTATCCGAGGTACTTAATGTTATCCTTATAAAACAGGCTGTGCCTTTTTTGATAATTCATATAAAGTACGGACTGAAACCGGGAGTGGTTTTACAGCCCCCCCCCCAAATTTGGACTCACTCACTACCACAGCTTTGGACGTGACGAGTCTGAGGGAATGGCTTCTCCGACAGATCTCAAGCAGGCATACATGGGGCCCCCTCTTGCAGAAGCAGTCTACCTCCGAGTTATTATTCCTGGGGAGCAATTCCTCAGAAAGGCTAAAGCCTTCCTTGACCTACTTGGGGGTCTTCCTGGAGGCGTCTTGCTAGCCACTGTGAGAAGGAGGAACCTGGATTTGATGGACTTTAGGTCTAATCCAGCAAGCCATCTCTTTACATTTCAAAGCAGCTAATCCGAAGCTATAGGGACTTGAGCCTTTTTTGGAAGTTTGAGCTTTCCAAACTGTCTCCAAGGGCAGCCCCTTATAAAGCACACGGCAGTTGTCCAGCCTAGAAAGCCACCCCGGTGTGAGATGCCGGCAACTTAGCCTCTGTCTCTCTTTCAGTAGCGCACACTCATCCACAAGACAGGTAGGTACTTACAGGTCAAAGACCAGGAAGAAGAAGGTGTGCGATTCATAGCTGTCCTTCAACTGGACTGGAAATAAAACAACGTATCTCAGCAACAGGGACTGGGATATAACCATATGTGTTGCTCCAGTCCACCAAATATTTACACAAGTGACAATCAAGGATGCTCTGGACAGTTTTGCATCTGAGATACAACCCCAAGAGGCTTCTGTTCTCCACCAGAGACATAAAACTAAGGAACGGCTGTCATTTAAATAGTCTAAAAATGGTTACCCTTCAACCCCATCTTTTTTTGAGAAGATCTGGCTTGGAAATTGGTGGATTGTTTCTAAAGTTGCCTGGGGAAGATTTCCTAAGGATTTCTCTTTAAGCCATGGCTTGTACTGGAGACTCATGCTGATTCATCAGCAAGGGGGAAATACAATACTCAGAAAAGGGAGTGGTGGAAGCAGGGAATGCACTCTTGCAGCTGTGGGTCGGATGATCAGCTGGCCGGGTGCAGAGAAGAGAGCGCAAACCCCCCCCCCATCGTAAACGCAGAGCGAAGGAGAGTTGAAGTTTTTATAAGGAGCAAATTTGCAAAAGGGCACAACCTTGTGCAAATTACAGTTCCTGTAATCCCCTAGCCAGCATGGCCTGAGGCCCATGTTTGGAGCGAAAACAGCGACATTTTGAACTGCGTCATGTTTCTAGTCCATATGATACATTGCAAAGCGATCTCCTTGTCTTCCGTTCCAACATTCAGAGGTGATGCCTCTGTAACTGAAATGGCACTGATTCCTCTCCAACTAGTCTATTACTTGATTTAAAAAATGGTAACAACAGGGTGATCCTACACAGGCTTCTTGGTGGAGGGACATCCCACTGAATTCTGTGAAACTTACTCTTGGGTAAATGGATCTAGGATGATCTCAAGATATGATCTTTCTTGAGATTTCACATGATATGAAATTTGAGAGCCAGGATTGTTTTCTGGCTCTCCAAATAGAGGTACGTCGTACATACCGTAAAACAAGGTCGGCATCTCTAGTCTGACATCTTCAGTGATATTGGTTCAACCCATAATTTTTGGGAGAGGAGCAAACTCTGACTTACTGACGTTCGGATGTCCTGATACTTTCTGGAGAATGTCAATCTCTTTTTTGGTAGCTTCTCTCAACTCCTGAACTTCTTCCGGAGACAAGTTCCCGGCGGTGATGTCAATAATTTTCACGGCAAATTCTTCCCGGGTGACTTTATGAATGCAACGACGGACAACGCTGCTGACATGACACCTCTTACAGATCATATAAGGATGTTGGACAAGAAAACAATCTTTTGGGGATGTTTCTGAAAAGCATCATCCTCTTTGCCTCTGGATCACTACCAAGGTGGCGAAAGACTCATCCCTCCAACCAATCTTGGGTGTTAACTCTTGCCTATTACTCTGAATGTTGCTGACTCCAGATGCTTAGTGGGATGGCTCAACATCCGTCCTGGGTTTTAGTCCAAAATTTACAAGGGCTACCCTAGTGCCTAGTACCCTAGTGCTCACTGGAAGGACAGATCCTGAAGCTGAGGCTCCAAGACTTTGGCCATCTCATGAGAAGAGAAGACTACCTGGATAAGACCCTGATGTTGGGAAAGAGTGAAGGCAAGAGGAGAAGGGGACGACAGAGGACGAGATGGTTGGACGGGGTCACCAAAGTGAACGACACGAATTGGACCCAACTCCAGGAGGCAGTGGAAGACAGGCGGGCCTGGCGTGCGCTGGTTCATGGGGTCACGAAGAGTCGGGCACGACTAAACGACTCAACAACAACAACAACAACAAC